GTATTCCTCATTCTGAAAGAGTCAATGGTGCTGAACATGATTATACAGCTACTGCAAGGGGTAACTACCAAAGCAGACTTACGCAGCACTAGTACTTGGTATCTGCTCTATCAATAGGAAACATGATTAGGAGAGTTACTACACATTATTCTATATTTTTTAGGAATCACGCCAGCCCAAAGTTGTTAAGAGTAGATATGGCACCCTGGTACTCTGACCCTAAAACGTGGAAAAAGCAAAATGTGGGCAAACCTTTAATGGATCCGAAAGAAACAGGCAATGGTGTTCACAATTTTACACCACCACCCATTAAGAAGGTACCATAAGCACTGTGTACCACTGACACTGAGCCCAGCAGAGTTAATGACTTACAGGGCGTGTAGATTATGGGAACATGCCTGTGCCGCACTTGCAGCAAGAATAAGAGGCATAATATCTCTTACTATTCACCTGATTGGTGACAATGACTGCTTGGTTTTTCCCTCTGGGACAGTGAGAATCCACAGTGTAAGGCCTGGCAATGAGCAAACTCCAACAGCTCTTATTATCGGAAAGCTGCTACCTGCTTCCAACCTCACCTGTGACCTGTTCTCCTTTCCCTCCTCAACAGAGCTCCATAAAAGCACCACTGGGTTTTTCACACATGCTGTCCTTGTGCTCAGGAAGAGCTCTCTGCAAACCTCCATAAAGTTTCCCCTGCCAAACTCTCATTATGGAGTTGTCTGTGGAACTTCCAGATGCCCCAATAGTACGGCCACAGGGAATAAGAGGGCTCCTTAATTTGTATTTCTTTTGTACTTGTTCATGTTTCCATTTTGTTCTAGCGTAAAACTGGAAGAAGTACTGTACACGCACAAGGCTTGTTTAAGAGCAATGCTCTCCAACATCCTTAATACAGCAACTGTGGATACCACGGGATCAGACACTGGCCAGGCTCAAAAGCACTCCCGAAATAGCATCCCCTTAACTGCCACCACCAGAGCCAGCATAGTGGGATAGATGCACCACGGGTCTGATCCAGCTGGCCATTTCTCACTCGCTCTGAAGCTAGAGCTGAGATTCCCTGTCACCACACTAGATGGCAGAGCTTACAGAATAAAATTCAGAAAGTTCATTTGAGACAGTGCACGTGGGCAACGACTTCCTAACAGCTATGGCTGTAGAGTTGTTTATAGAATTGGAATAGTAAATATCTGGCCTACTGTTTTGGTTTTGAAATGAGAACAGGTGGCACGTTTGAGGCTCCTGATCTTAGGGCAATCAGCTGGCTGGTAATTCTGTGAAGTCACACGTAGCTTTCCAAGATACGGTCCAGCAACTGCTATCACATTTACTGAATAAACAATGGTGCAATGAAGCCTCAATGTTCACAGAACACTAACTTCCAAACTAACGGCACATCAGAAATTAGTGCATGAACAAACTAAAATCTTGAATTAATTCGAAACAGAATTGTGTCCCTGAGACTTTGAGAAATTGTCTCCTCGCTCCTTTATTGTACTGTTGCTCTGTTTGGTTCCAATGAAAGTTTTTAAAAAATACAACATTACATTTTGGAGCATTTCTGTTAATCTGCTTAGGAAATTTTCTTAGGAGGCAGAGGTCTCCATGTTCTACAGGATATGAGCATTTCAAGAATTCCTGGAGAGGAAGGACTACCAAAAACCAGGGGTAAGTTACCGTCTGCAATGATCTGTGCATTTGCTTCAGAACAGGAACCTCAGTCCTCAGCATCCTGTGAGCTCTTGGGCTATGACTCTTCTCTTCTGTCTAGCATCTCTGCTTCTAACACTCAGTAAGTGATCAGTGACTCAGGAATTTCAGCCTTAGTATTCGCCAAGAACCTTGTTTAAAAAAAAAAAAAAAAAAAGAAAATAAATTAGAGACATCCTAAGAGAAGTTCCAAAGCACAAATTCGCTGCTACCTGGACAGGGTATCATTGTAACAGCCATGACTGAACCACCTAAAAGTAGTTATATCCAGCATAACATCCACCCATGTATTCTCCCCTCTGTTGGCACAAGTATTTGTGTGAATGAAAAGAAATTTTTTTTTAATTTTGTGTTAACTTTCAGCTGGATCAGTTACCTGATCTGACCCACTGCAATGGTCACATGAAAGCAAAGGCCTGCACAAAACAGGCAGTGAGGACAGGGGAGCCAAAAGGTCAGATAAGTCTCTTCTGCAACAGTGTGGACTTATGCTGGACTCTAGTACAATCCGACCAGGAGGTTTGCAAATTATGAAGCTCTTTCACATCCTGCCACCCACTGCAGCCTCTGCAAACAAGTAATCATAGGTAAAGCTGAAGCCCTTGCTCACAAAAACCTCCCTCACCTCTGAACTGTGGCTGCTCCACAGCAGATTACAAGGATGGCCCTGGTCTAGGAGACCACAGCACTCAAAGTGCATTTGCATCACTGGATGCTGATGGCACCTGGAATCGACTGGGCAAAAATAGCACGTGCCCTCTGGGGACTACGTAGGACTTGCGTGGGAAACTGGGATCTGGATTACAGAACTGTCCTTCCCTGCCTGGCTGTGTGGCAAGCTTGTCTCTGGTGGCACCTAGGTCCTTTGCGACTCCCTCTTTTTATTATCATTCAAATGCATTACTAGTAACAACAATTACTCTCTGAGTACTCAAAGCAATCTGTGTGCTTTGCTTTAGTTTCTTCTGCAGGTGCTGAGTGAAAAAGAGTCTGGCAACAGAAGAGACTTGTATGAGCATGGAAGATGAACAGAACCAGAGGAGACCTTTGCTCTTTTCTTGCTCATTAAAGCAGCACCCTGCCTTTCATCATGCACATTTTTGTGCCTTCAGAATAAACTGTTCCTTAAGGATTTCTTTAATAGTCACTTCTAAGCCGTGTTACTTTGGTGTCTCTTCCTTCCTAAGCTGTTTTATCAAATATATTTAAGAAAAGAAATACTGGGGTTAGCAGCTCTAAACACTACCTCTTCATCTGTGCTGAGGGCTGGCAGAAGGATGCTCTTTTAGTGTAATGATACAGTAAATAATGATTTTTGCCTGCTCTGCTTCAGGGAGATGACTAGGAATTTTAAATTGCAGTACATGCATACTAACAGTAGTATGTAGGTGCCCTAACTGATAATCCCAACTGAGCAAGGTAGTGTACAAATACAGAGCATAGGACTGTCTCTGTTTCGAAGGCTAGAAAAAAGGAATATAAGTAAACTGCGAATATATCTACTAAGCAAAGAGTTTCAGTAGTTAACACAACTCATTACTGTCAAGTGTCTCTTTTAAGTAGCAAGGCTAAGGTGCACCCTGAAGTATCAACAGTGGTAAAAGAGAGTGCACCCAAAACCACATTCACTGAGAAAATGCCCAGGCAGGTCCTAGCTTCTCAGCTCTTTTCTTTCACTGTATCATTGAGCAGAAGATCTGAGCAGTGCCTCTGAGTTTAGCACATGCCCAAACGCATCCCACACATCAAAGTACCAAAATAGATATTTTTACTTAAGCACCAGGTCAGCACTTTGTTGGGGAAGGGCTTCAGAGAAAGTGTCTTAGCTACTGCGGTAAGCAAAGAAAGGAAAAATACTTAGACCATGAATTTTGTGTATTCGCACAGGCCACCATATGCCATATCAGCCAGGAAACTTCACCGCAAAGCCTGCACACTTGTGCTTCTATAAATTCGAATGACATTTACTGTCCTGTTAAGCTGGGGTAGTACTGCTCTAAATGACACCGAAAGATTAAGAAGTTCACACACTGGAAATAGACTTATTGGGACATCCACTTAGCCATTCTCTTTTCTAATGAGATAGCGGATAAAATCTCATCAGTGGGCTTTAGAAATCAAGTAATGACAACACCTTTGTTCAGATGAAGAGAATAGATTTAAAAAAGGCAGCAGTCAAATCTGAATGGAACTGCCTCCCTTAACTCCTTCTCTGGTGTTAATCTTTGGTGTCAATAGTCTACACTGATAAACATTTTTACAGTGTGTCACTCCAGAATTACCAACTCAAAATACAAAGTCATAAGCTGCATTTACTAACTTTCTTGGGTTCCTAGTAAGATTTATCTGTATAACCTTTCAATTTTGAAATAAAATTTGACATCATCACTTCAAGAGGAAAATTGGGTAGTAAAATGAAGGCAAATTAAAATAAACATCAAATATCCTCTGCACTAATGGACTCTGAAGTCCCAGTAGTCCAAAAAAGCTTCCTGAGCATCATACGGAAGACAGGAGAGCAGGACAATGTTAAGAAATCCAATTGTAGTCATTAGAGTATGATGCAGAAGTTACAAAATGAGTAGTGGATTCATCTCACTTCTCAGGGATACGAGAGAAAGCCTGGATTTTCATCAGTACAAGCATTAAAAGTACAAGCCAGTACCCTCAGCGCACCCCTGCTAGAGCATATCGATCTAAGGCCACCAGTACTGCTAGAATTAAACTTCATAAACTTCTGCAGTTACTATAGCTCCAACGCTTGCTTTCCTACCAAAACAGGAAGGAAACTCAAGCATTCAGTCCTCAACTCTGGTTTTGTTGCCGTGTCATCTCCCTTCAGTTTTGCATTATCTGTCGTTTAAAACCCCTGCAGCATGGCTACCTCGTGCAGAGTGCCTAGCTATGGAGACAAAATGAGGAAAGAGAAGGGGGGGGGGGGAAATAAAGGGAGAGATGGTAGCAAAGGGGCGGGAGGGAAGGAAAGCTTTTCAACTTTTTCTCACCTAACTTCGGACTTTCTTTTTTTATTTGTTCTGACCTCCCTTTTCCCTCCCTTCAGCCGCCCCCGCCCGC